TCTTGATCTTATTTTTAAATTATTTACTATAAATAATTATTATACATAAATAATTAGTATATACTTTTTTATTTTTAAATTTGAAAATTTTTGTTTCTCGCTACATTGACTTGGAGGAATTCTTTGCTAAAGCTGAATTTTCAAGGAAGTGAACAACTGCACCCAGGAGAAGTTTCTGGAGCCTGATTAGAGTTTGGCCGAGAAATCTTTGTCACTGCTCAGCTGAGTCCAAAGTGTGTAGCCTCAGCTGAAGACCAGCCAGAAGCAGCCAGGAAGGAGCAGCAACCCTGTTCCTGGATGTTGGTTGGGGCGAAGGGGCATTTTCACCAATGGGGTAGCTCATAGGGAGCCACAGGCTAGGCAGCTGGGGCTCAGGTTGTCCTTTGGGTCAAAGAAAGGGTCCTGGGAGAACCAAACCAACCATTCCAGATAGCAGACAGCCCAAGCCCGGCCAGTCTGTCTGGGTGCTGTTCTGCTGTTGAGCACAGAGCCCTGCCTGGGGAAGTGGCTGCAGCAGGCAGTGAGCAAGGGCTGCCACGGTCAACCTCAGCCATTGACCCCGGTGACTGAGACGCTGCATTTGGGAGGAGGGCTCGCAGGCTCTGAGCGGTGGCCACCCTGTGCTGTACCAGCCCTTGCACGTACTCCTCAGGCTGGTATGGAAGCATGCCCTGCCACAGCTATCCTCTGGACTGAATGGGAAGGAAGAGGCAGGACAACCTCTTATACCCAAGGCACTGGAGCACGGGCCTCAGGGTGAAGTCCACATTTATTGAGATGATTTCAAAGCTCTTCATCCTTCAGTGCTCTCCAAAGAACCCCCCACTTCCCCTGAGCCCAGTCTCCCTCCCATCTTCTTTCTGTGCCAGTTTTCTGCTGTTCCAGCTCTCAGCTGTGATTAACGACTTATAGTTTAGTTTTACTTTGTTAAAACAATTGTGCTCTTTCTCCTGTCAACACTCTACTCTCTCTTGGATTGCCTGTCTCGAATCCTCATTGTACTTCAGAGTTGTTCCATTTCTTCCCTGAGCATTCACATCCGGTTGTCAGGCAGGTCCCCAGCTCCATTCAGGAAGCTCTGGTCTTCGCAGTAATTCTGCTGTTTTCAGTAGAATATCCACTGGTCTGTCTCCTGTCAGCAGTGAGCTGCTTCAGGCAGGGCTATTTCCCACTTCCCTTTGACTTGCGTATGTGATAGAGTACCTGCTCCACCTTGGATACACACTGGACATGTGTTTAAAACAACATATATGTGGTCAGACCAGAGAGTGTGTGTAAGCAGACTCTTCGCTGTGTGGCTGTGAAGGAGAACTTACACCTTCGTCTGCTGTAGCAGATCCTAGTTTTTTATGCATGCCTGGCCCCTTCCTACCCAGAGCATTTGTCCTTCTGTGTCAACCCCTAAAATATGAACTTTAAGAGTCCTAGTTCATGGTGCTCTTTCCTCTTGGCCTCCAGGACCGGCTGTGCTCCAGGTGCTCTGTGAACCTGAATCCTGAAGTTGAATTAATGTGAGGCAGGGATGGAGGGACCTTCAGTGGACATGTGGAGTGAAAAATCAGCGTTTGTTGACCTGGGCTTTGTGCTTCATTGGTTACCGGGAGCATAACGTAGCATGCCCTGACTGGGCTGCGTAAGAACTGGCTTCTCCCTCCCAAAGAGACCCGCTTTCTACTGATGCTTGACATTGTCCAAAGGGAAAGTCAACCCCAAAGTCCAGGTATCCTGATGGCAGCCAAGACTCAGGTGTGTGTGTGTATGTGTGTGTGTGTGACAGGTGAGCGACGTAGGAGGAAAGAGGGAAGGATTATAGAAAAGCCGGTTTGAGCTAGTACTGAACACAGAAATGACCATCTATGTGTGGGGAAGTGATATTTCCCTGTGAAGGACTTCCTACCATTGCTTGGGGAGCTAATAAATAAATAAACCATCTGTTTTCTCACTCTGACCACAGGACTTTCTTGCACCAAGCCACGTTAGGTGCCGAGTCTAAGCAGCTGAGGAAGAGCACCGCCTGCTGGGGATGTCAAGCCAGTGCGCCTGTTCCTGACAGAGAGTTACTCCTGCCCTGACACATGGACAGCTTCAGATCTACCTGAAACCTTAGTAATCCCCTCAGCTTACTTTAAAGCCAGGGAAGCTTAGGGCCAGAGAAACTCAGCTTGACCTCCTCCCAGTCCCATGCCCGCCCATGCTGGACCACAGTCCTTCCAGAGGAGGGGACCAGCAAATTCCCCATTGGAGATACTACCTTACTAGTCTCCCTTTGCCAGTTTTAGAAGGCAGCGGGACTTAGACTGGCTGAGTCAGTGCACGGGGCAGGCAGTGGAAAAGACTCAGTGGAGTTCAAGAGCATCAGCAGGAGCTCTTGTTGCGGTGGCTTCTGCTTACTAAGGAAAAAGAAAGTCCCTTCACAGAGCCTACCACTCTAGAAGAAGAAACACCAACCTGTACCACATACAAGGATCTGATCAGGCCAGAATTCAAACCCCTGTCACTTGGCTCAAAGATTGAAGTATGCACTGAATCGCATTGCCTCTTCCTGAAATGATAAGCTCTCTGTGCCTCTTGATGCACCTCCCAGTGCAGAGCCTGTGCACCGACAGGGCTCAGGAAACACAGGTCACAAGCTGTAGTTCTTTCAGGGAAAGAGCTCTTTTTTCATTATTACAATACTATTTAATAATAACACTTATAAACCTAAACTTATCTGAAGACATAGAGGCTCCTGTTTGTTGTTCAGGTTGGTGAATGACACTAAATGTGTCTGTCCTAGAAAAAGTTGCCAGATACATCAGTTCTGTTGAGAAGGCCTCTGATGCTGGAGGTAAGCTTGTTTCTTCTGGGATTTCAACTTTTGCTGAGATTACATTGTGTGCCACCATGCCCAACTTGTTTCTTCTGTACCAAATGTTGAAGTCATTTAGGTTCTCAAACTGAACGAATGGCAGCTTCGGGTCCTTAGCCTCCTCCTGGGCTGCTGCTGCTGCCGGCTCTAAAACTGCACTCCAGGACTGCTCCTGAAACCTGTTCCAAGGCCAATGTTCTGGGCTGCAATACTAAGCTGCTGGTTTCCTCTGCCAATTTGCAACCCAACTTTTCAGGTGTGCGGACTCCTCATGGAGGCTCTGGAAACAGGATGTTTTGCAGTGATGTGCCAGTGCCACTGGGGTTTGCAAAGCAGACAAATGGTGCTTATACAGAGCAGACCTGGCCTACAGACTAAAAGCAAGCAGCTCCTGAGCTAGGGTGGGACGACTTCCTCAGAACCCTCCAGTAGTCTGAACATTTAGGTCCTTTGTCAACACACCTACAAGGACTTCTACGTCCCAAGTCAGGAGTTTGGGAAATAGACACTGGGTGGCACAGGGAGAACACTGACCAAGACGTGGACACTGCAGAGTAGATGATTCCAGACCAGCCAAGTGATGTAGTTCATTATATAAAGGCAGGGGTCCTAGGCAGGCAGAAGGTTAAAATAGGATCCCATTAAGCTTTATTAAAGAAATTAATGGGAAACCTTACTAAAGGCAGCTTTTGCCTCTACAGGTAGAGTCCACAGTTAGAGCAATCAGAAAGACAAAGGAGAGAGGGAGAATGGACTGAGACAGGCGCCAGGTAACACAGTTACCATGGAAATTTATCAGAAAGAGTTAACAAGACCAGGGTAGCCATCCCCTTCACCCACCTGATAGAACGCAAGGGAGATAAGAGGCAGCCACCTGAGGACTCTTACTTAGTAAGACGCACATGCACACACACACATCTGCACACATACTCATATATGTATGTTCCCACTTTAACATCACTATAGTATTGCACCAGATACACACATGTACACCCCCCACCCCATATCCCATTTACTTAATCATTAAGTGGAAGCTACTTTCTTACACATACGCACACTGTTCATCACAAAGGGACAGGAAGAAATCAAATGGCCAGAAGGAATGTAGGCAGACATGCCTAGGTTAGGATCAAAGACAGCCAAGAGGGCAAATCAGATAGTGACAACTTTCAGGTGCCCACACTGGGGAAGGGAGAGACACTAGTTCCTAACAAAAGGAATCTGAAGACAGAAATCCACAAGCAATTCACTTTTGAATACTCCCTACTCATCCAGAGTAGCTGTCTGTCATCTTTCTCAGCCCCCTTTCCCCCACCTTCAAATAAATCTTCTTCTTTTTTTGGGGGGGGGTACAGGGGATCAAACTCAGGTCCTTGTGCTTGCGCAGCAGGCAGCAAAACCACTGAGCTAAATCCCCAGCCCCTATAAATCTTCTTCTATTTTAAACTGCTTCTTTAGTTCTTTGCTGGGTTTAGGATTGCCAGGAGCTGGGTGTTCCAGCAGAGCAGTGGTGTGGCGTAGCTTGTGGTCCACCCCAGGATGGAACAATTAGATAGCACTAGGGGAGCATTCAGAACACTAAATTTCCCCTGAAGTTCACAGAAGGCCTCCGGACAAGGGGACATCTAGTGAGGACCCCTGCCTGCCAACTCATCCCTGTATGAGTCACCACCGTAATGAAGCAGTATTACTGAAAAAGCAGGAAGTAGTTAGGAAGCGATGCTCAGCTTGTGGAAGCCTGGAAGTGCACCGTCCAGGTGGTGCTGGTGGATGGTGAGGACAAAGGGGCCTTGACCTGGGAAGGCAAAGGGGTGGCCAGGGTGTGGCCTTTAGGGTGGACTTGCGCTGAGAAAGTACAAGCCACACCCACCGACCAGATAATCCCTATATCTGGCTTCACATCACTGCCATTTATTTTTGGTGGAGACTGAGCCTTTAATTTAGTCTGCTTTAAAGGTTGCTCTTGCCTATTTTAGTTTCAAGGCAAAGGCTTTTTAAAAAGGAAGCCACAGTTAGAAAGAGATCTCCGCGTGGAAGGTGCATCTTGAGCAGCAGGAGTCGGGCTGAGGCCTCCGTCTCAGGGCCTACCTAGGAGACTGTGTTTGATTTGTTTTGGCTGATGGAGGCTTCTCACAGAGACTGCTTTCGTTACTCTCATTTCCCAGTCTTCTTCTCAAAAGATCCCTTTTGGCCACCAGTCCCGGGGCCGGCAGCCCTCTTGGTCCAGCCCGGAAGTAGAAGTAACTTGTGTTCAGCTCCACCCTGAACCGCATGTGCTCGTATGTTGGCATCACAGGTGACACAACTAGTGCACCCTTTCGTGGGGCTGCTGGTCCTGCCATCTGATTCTGTCTCTCCCACCTCTCTCTCATCACTGACACCTGCCCCGTCACCACCGGCCACCAGTCCCCAGGGATAGCAAAGCCAGAACTTAACTACTTCCGATCTATTCTAAGAGATACCAAAATAAGCATCTGTAATAAAACCCTGATGTGATCCTACAACTCTCCCCAGAGGGATCACCAGTCATAGTACATGTGATGGCACACCAAGATTTTTATTAAGGTTATCATAGCTGGTGGGACTTTTCTGACTGTCCACAAAGAGAACATAATGTATGCACGCATGTGTACACACACATGAACACAAACACTCGTGCATACACAACACACACACACACACACACACACACACACACGAGGAGCTAGGCCTTCACCCTGATCCGTCTCATGCAGAGAACAGAGTGAGGACATTCAGACCTGCAGGGAAGTAGCTGACTGCTGTCTACCAGTCATGAAAACACGCATGTCTTACCCTACCCGGCTGGAGGAGCTCCAGCTTCTGTAGTCTTATCACTTACACGTTATTTCCTCAAGGCCAATACGAGCAAGAAAAGGGGCTCCTGGCCTCCCATTAGGCATCACCCAGCTTTCTCTCTGCCCTGCTCCTGTACTAAATGCAAGTGGGAAAGACTCGGCCTTGCCTGCCCTGCAAGCTTTTAGCCTAACTGGAGGGGACTGAAGTCAAAAGGATGAGCTTGCACAAAAGGTAGAGCTACGGTGCGAGTGCGTGTCCATGTGCGTGTCCGTGTGCGCGCGTGTGTGTGTGTGTGACTTCTTACAGACTTTTAATTTTGTAATAATTTTAGATTTATAGAAAATGACAAAGATAGTGCAGGCAGTTTCTGTATGTCCTTCCTCCAATTTCTCTAATGTGAACATCTTTTCTTTCTTTAAAAATTGTAAAATGTTTTAAAGTTTTATTTATTTTTAATTGAGAGGTAAAAGTTACAAATATTTGTGATATGTGACACGTTTTAAAATATATATGTTGTGAAATATTAAATGGAGCAAATTAATACATGCACTCCCACACATGCTTACCATGTTTTGTGAGGAGAATACTTAAAATCTGCTTTCTCAGTGATTTTCCAGTATGTAACACATTGTTATTAACTGTAGTCACCTCCTCGCACAATAAATCTCTTAGAACTCATTGCTCCTGAATATCTGAAATTTTGTACCCTTTCACTAACATGTCCCCTACCTGGCCAGGCCCTAGTAACCACCCTTCTACGCTCTGGCTCTGAGTTCAACCTTTAGATTCTGCATAGAAGTAAGGACATCCGACATCTGCACAGAAGTAAGGACATTGCCTTTCTGTGCCAGGTCAGTCAAATATAGTTCCCAGATCTTCAGCCACTAAATGAAGGAGTTTGCTCCCTTTTGGAGTCTCGGTTTCTTCATTTATAAGAATTTTTGTTTCATATGGCAGAGATGTGCATTATATAGGGTGAGAGTATCGTGCCTTGCCTTGAGTTAATTCTCAGCCTCAGGGACCTTCAAACAGAGACCTGGGGGCTGGGGATTTAGCTCAGTGGTTTTGCCGCCTGCTGTGCAAGCGTAAGGACCCGAGTTCGATCCCTGGTACCAAAAAAAAAAACCAGAGACCCGGGTCTTAGCTAAGCTTTTGCTAGGCATGGATGCAGAAGCACTTGTGTGGCCTCATTGCCCACCTGTGTGTCTGCCAGAGATTTCCGTGACTGTGACTGGTTAGGAGAAGATATTCAATGAAGATTAGAGTGAGTCACCTCGAATTGAGTCAGAACTGGAAGGAAGCTGAGAGATGACCCGACAAGCCCAACCTTGTCATCACCCGGAGCTTTCCCTCTGCCTGAGTTCAGCGTCACACGTGGAGGGCCGAGGGCTCTGAGGAGTAGAGAAAGGGAAGGGCTTTCCCAGGACCCCTCAGGAGGCCAGCAGGATCCCTGACAGTAACTCAGCTCTCTTGGTCTCTGTCCACTGCTCCCGACTGGAACTCCAGTGCCTCCGAAGTCCAGTGAAGATGAGCAGCCTTGATGTACTGGCTACCAACCTTGGTGGGCAGAGGAAACTGAAGCCAAGGAGCTGCCTGGAGAGTCCAGGATGGGGAAATAGTTACCTTTGTATTTTATTTCAGAGTGAGTTGGAAGCAGCGAGTCTCACTCCTACTAGCTGATACAAGGTTCCAGAAGACCGAGGTCCGAATACCAGGAGCCAGGAGGCTGGAGGTCAAAAATGGCTATTTATTCCCTGTGCATGGAGCAGACTCCTAGGCAAAAGCTCACAGAGCTGAATGGCACCAGAGTGACCTGGGAGGAGTTTCAGCACAGCGGGGCATTGGCCAGGCCCACGGTGCCTTCGGTGCCAGGCATCTGTGATTCCCCAGGAAAGCCAGGGCTGCAGAGACATGCAGGAGCAGGCAGAGCTCCCCCAAACCCCACCACACCTGCAGGCAGGGCTCCCTCCAGAGGTTCCTGACTGCCAGGAGCTGGAGCTTTGCTGCAGAGCCATGGGCCCTCTGAGGCTCTGCAGGGAGTGTGCCCACCTGCAGAGGGGTGGTCAGCAGGGCCTTCCCCCTCCCAGGGGTCTGGTGCGCACCTGCTTGAAGCCTGCATTATTAATTCCACTCAATAGCTTAGAAGCAGAAGTAAATTGGCTATGATCGCCTAAGGAAGAGTAGGGAGGTGGGATTGGCCCCAGGTCTGTCAGACTCACAGTGATGGGTGGGAGCTCTTTCCTGTACCGAGCCACCCTGCCACACCATCTGCAGTGTGTGTGTGTGTGTGTGTGTGTGTGTGTGTGTGTGTGTAGCTTTTCCCTTCTCTGAGGGAGGCATGTTTCTTCTCACCCTCAGCATCACAGTCTTCATCCTGAGGTCTCCGATCGGGACGTCCGCTCAGCGTCCCATCCCCACTGCAAGATGGCAGGGGGGGCTGGAGAAAAGTGAGAGGATCTGGCTCACGAGAACAGACTAGACTTGATCCTCTGGGGCCAGGACATGAGTGACAGTGCCAAGGCGTGTGTTTGTGCTCTGGGGCCTCTGTGAGCGCGTTAGTGGGTGAAGACACACTTGAGTGTGGTGGACGGCGTCTAGTCACTTATCCTTGTTCGGAACACACAACACCCGACACACACAGCTTAAAGGAGGAGAGGTTTACTTTGGCCCGGGTTTCAGGCCACAGTCTGCTGGCTCCAAGCCAGGATGGCTCAGCATGGCACCGAGGCGTAGTAGGGGAAAAGCTGCCCACCTCATGGAAGGTGAGCTGGGAAGCAGAGAGAGACAGGAGGAGATGGAAAGGGAAATATACCCTTCCAGGGCACTTCCCATGTCCCACCTCCTCTGGGCAGCCCTACCTCCTAACAGCAAGCCAGCCACAATGCCCCCACCTTCCAGAACCACCACCCATGGGCACTTGAGGCTAGATATAAAGCATAACACACAGCACAGACGTGACTGTGTCAGTGTACTGCGGTACAGTGTGGACAGCACGCATATGCGTGGGAAGACAGGTGTGCATGTGCAAATGGGTGAGTCTGTAAGAGTGAGTGTACACGGGGACAACATTCAGCAGCTGCACACCGTGCTGCATGGGCGTTATTGAGTTCATGGTTACAATGTTTAAAAACTTCTGTAGCAGGTGGCAAATAGCCGAGGCTCCAACTCCTGGCCCACTGTGCCCTGCTGCGGCCCTGGCTGCCCTCTGTGTCCCCCAGAAGGAAGCAAGGAGGTTAAAGCAGGCCGCAGAAAGGGGCCTCCAAGACTGTACTCCAGCTTCTGCTCTTGAAATTCAATGTCAGTCTATACAGCTGTGTGCATTATTGGGAGTATCAGGTTCCCGAGTGGAATTGGTGTGAGTGTGTGAACATTCATGAATGTGTATCATGTTACATAAGTGTTGAGTATGCCCGTGAGTGTAAACATGCCTGGCTTTGCCTTCTTACTAGACTGGTGGGAGGGAAATTCTGGAAGGATGAGGTCCAGGCTTTATGCTTCTTGCAGCTACACAGATGGTAAGAACACTTGCTTTGTTCCAAAGAACAGAGATCAAAAGTTCAGAGGGCCCTGCGTTTCAAACTCAGCTCTGCCACCTACAAGGCATTAACATTATGAGCAAGTAAGGAGCTTCCTTGAGCCTTGGTCTTGGGAGTAATGATTCCTACCTCAGTAGAATGGTGCCAGAATCCAGTGGGCTGCTGAGTGTGCGTACATGCTGGGGACCTTCATACCAGTTAAGGCTTTGCACCTATACCTGCTTCCTGAGCTCACTAGCTTCAGCTCCTGCCTCCCAGGGAGTCTAGCCGGTCTCAAAAAGACATGGCTGACTTCACTTACTGACAAGAGAAAGACAATTGCTGTGGGCCAAAGTTTCCTGAGACTGCCTCAAGGACAGGACTATCAGGAGCAGGTGTTAAAAAAGGGAACATATCGGAAGAGAAGGGCAAGCAGCAAAGGGAGTACTTATGTGCTAAACTAATTCTTTCTTCCTTCTGTGAACACTAACTCAGGCCCTTTGTTCTACTTAAATAATCCCTGCCTTGCTCCCAAGATGTGCACTGTCCCTCACCCTGTTACTCATGAAAGCTCTGCAGAAAGCCCGCTCTATCAGAACCTTGGAGAACAGGAATGAAAGCAGTAATTAGCATCTGTCACCCCCTCCTACGCTCATGCTGTACTTACTTCTTTATTTCTGTTATGTCATTATACCCCCATCACCCCATAAACTTAAGAGGCAGCTGTTCTTCTCACTACACAGATGAGAAAAGTGAGACCTAGAGAAGTCACACACTTAGCTCCGGGTCACACAGATAAAGAAGGTAGCTCTGGAATCCGAGCCCAGTATGATGGGGAAAATAGAAAAGTGCACAAAGTTAACTGCTTCTGGTGGTCCTGTCTTCAGAGGAAGTTTCCAGATTACTGACTGCTCACGGCACATAAATACACACACGTGCACACATTCCAATTATGGTACTTGGTAGAGAAGAAAATTAGATGAAGGCCAGAAAGGCAAAATTCGACCTTATGTTAAGTTGCTGAGTAAAGGAGGGTAAGAAAAGTGGAGATAAGATCCCTTTAGAGAGAAACACGGAGTCAGAGAGAGGACACATTTGGAGATTTACTGAGTGCAGGCAAATGTTTACATCATTTGCCAGGAATTCAGTTAAGTTTTACATAACTTATCAATCCTTTTTTAAAAAATGTCAGACTTGAGTTGCTGTTCAACACAACACTCCTGAGTAAAGACAAGTTTATGAGGCAGGTCACAAAACTGGTGCCACTCAGCCAGGTTTCTGTGATTTCCAGCAAGTGTGGTCAGCTATGTTTTTCTTCCACGTTGTGTGGGTCTGTCCCTCCCAAGTACACCTAGAACCCACAATATTGTTCTGTGCTCAGTTCTTGGGGCCTCTCATTCCTTCCTAAACCCCACCTTCATCACTACATAGACACTTTCTGGCAGCTCTATAGTAGCTGCTGTAACCACAGACATGGCCAAATTCTCCTTCCTCTTCATTATTTTGTTATTCTCACACTATGCATATCCTCTAAATTTGGAGGACATCCGTGAGAAGCATACCACTCAAGTCACATCTTAATTAGATGCCACTAGTGGAATTTTTCTTCATTATCCTGGGGGTTTCAGCTTGGTCTTTTATGTGGAAGGATAATCAAGAGCCCCAGAAACCTGAGCTGTGTTTCAGTATCTTTATGCTGTCCATCACATTCTGTGCAAATGGGAGGCTGAGTATAAGAGAGTATTGCTGTACAGGGGAAGGGTTCATGGGTGGAGAGAGGGAAGGTGAAAGACATGATGGAGAAAAAAAGTCCAGCCATCCAGCGAAGCCATGCTAAAAGCTTTGATCTTTAGCCAACCTTGCATTCTCCAGGGTCTGTGATGTATGTGGAAACTGGTCTGATTTGTATCTTATATTATTTTCTTCTGTATCTTCTTTTGGGTACTTCTACTGGTTTTCAGTGACTCTCGTAGAACATACAGAAGTAAAAAGGGAAACTGGTAGAGGAAACAAGGTTTAAATATTCTTATCTGGGGAATATTTTGTAAGAAAGAGAGTGGAGAAGAGGAACATGGATGGGTAATTGGAGCAATAGACAGGAAGTTTGGAAGCAGGGTGTGGTGTTACACACTAGTAATCCCCCAACCTTCTGGGAAGCTGACTTAGGATCATAAGTTTGAGTCACCCCTCAGCAACATAGGCTTAGCACAACTTTGTGGCAAAAATAAATAAAATAAAATAAAATAAAATAAAATGGACTGTGGATTTAGCTCAGTCCAAAGGCCAGGGGTTCAATCCCCCATACCAATCTGGGCAGAGAAGTCTGCCTTTGCCTTGCATGCATTCTTTGGGTGGACACTGTCCTTCCTGGGTCTGTGTGGGGCTCCCATTATCTGAGGATGGGGTGTGTCTATGCTGCAGAAGCGCCACCCCCAGTGGACATGCATCCTATCTTGGACGGACCCCTGTGAATGTCCCAGCATCTCAGGTGTGCACCTCCCCGTGCCTGCTCCTCCCCAGGCCCTGGGGCTCCGGATTGGGAGAGAGAGAAAATATCTACAGAAAAACATCATTTTCAAAGCACACAGTCACCAGGCAGAGACAGGCAGGGCCAGAGGAATTCTACTTTAATGGTTGGGTAGCATGATGGGAAAGGTGCTGGGCGTGGTGCCCGAGTTTCCAGCAGGGCGATGCAGATGTGTGTCAGCGAAGATGGGCAGATGCTTTAGAGCCAGATCCTTGTCTGAGAAGGAAACTGCAGCTGCTAATTCAGAAGAGGTGGAGAAGTAGGCAGGTGAGGTCCTGGTGCTGCCTCCCTGCAGAGTGAAGTGCAGCTGCATCCAGAAGTGAGCTGGGCTGACCATGCGGGGCTGGTGCAGGAGGGGTACAGGATGCGTGGCGGGGGGGGGCTTCTTGCTGTTTCTCTGAGACTCACTTCTGGTGCCAGGTCGAGCGAGGTCTTACTTCTACTTGGACTTCTAACACTGCTGAGGGGGCGGGCACTTCTCCAGGCATTTGGGTGGAGGCTGGCAAGGCTGCTTGGTCTGCTGATCTGGGGGGCAGCACTGCTGGGGTGGGGGGCAGCACTGCTGGGGTGGGGGGCAGCACTGCTTTGGTTGGGGGCAGCACTGCTGGGGTGGGGGGCAGCACTGCTGGGGTGGGGGGCAGCACTGCTGGGGTGGGGGGCAGCACGGCTGGGGTGGGGGGCAGCACTGCTTCTGCTTCTGCTGAGACATTCTGGGTTAGACCTGAAACTAGAATCAGAGTGACACAGAAGTAAACAATGGTCAAGCCACAGAGCAATCCTGGGTGAACCTAGTCACATTCACATGCTGCTCTGCTTTTACCTCGACCTCATAGCTTTCCAAACTTAAGTGCTGGCTCCTTCTCCCTCTCCTTCCTCTCTCCCTCTCTCTCTCTCTCTCTCTCTCCCCCTCTCTCTCTCCATGTAAAATTTACCTGTTTATAAACCATTTTATCTCCTCTTGAGACAAAGAATCAAAGTGAGGAAGGAAGGAAGGGAGGTGGGAGGGAGAGGAGAGAACAGAGGCCAAGAGGGGAGAGGAGAGGAGGAGAAAGCAGTGGAGACAGGGCGGGAGAAATGAAATGAAAAGAAAAAGAAAGAAAAGGAAAGGAAAGGGACAGAAAGGAAAAATAAGAGTAAGAGAAAAGATGGGCATAAAGACAGAGCAAATGGTGCAAACTATTTTAGCAAAAACTGCAACTCCCAAAACAGAATTGCATGGGATTTGACTCCCACCTAAAGCACTCACAGCCGTGAGAATCGGAAGGAATTGCTGAAGTTCTCCCTCTGCAGCTCACTGCCCTACCATTGCTCTAGGGACCCAGTGAGCGTGTGGAAACGCGTGCCAGTACGTGCGTGAGTACGGGCGCCCACACAGAAGAGCTATTGTAGAATAAGGGCTATATGATCGTTTCCACCTAGCAAATACATTTATGAAAAATTTGAAAGAAGCATCTTAACTATTCCCTAGGAGAGTGCGTAGGAGAGGGGTGTGCAGTAGACGAGGGACCGTCTGTGATTGTCATCAGACAGGGTAAGGACGTGGCCCAGGCAATCGGCGTGGTGGGGCCACAGCACTCTCCTGGCCCAGAGCAGGACATCCCACTGCTCTGCACTTTCTTGTCCCCACTGCTGTGCTCCTGGTCTCCATGGTCTCTATATCCCTCCTCTCCCTAAAACCTGCTGTCCCTCCTCCTCACACCCAGCTTTCCCTTGAAAGGCAGCCCCAGGGGTGGCTCTGCCCAGAGCTGGGGATCTCCTTCTGTCTACTGAATCCTTCAGCTCCTGCCAGCTACACCACACAAGCCAGCCAGCAGGGTCCACAGGACACTGTCCCCCTAGGCGCAGGGCCTCTCCTGGTTCAGCACAGCCTCGCATCCCCCTCAGCCAGATGAGGCACAGGACCCACAATTCCCCAGTCTCCAAGGATGTGGAGAGACAGAGGTCCCAAAGAGGCGGCTTTCCTTCCTGAGCAACCACCCAGCCTCCCGTCCCAGCTGCCAGTCACAGGCTGGGACTCTAAGGAGTGCGGTGCATGAGGGACGCCGCCTCGCCAGACTCACCGTAGTTCACCGGTGACCGGAGTGTGGAGAGGCCGAGCAGTATGGGAGTCTCAGAGCTGGCCCACCTTTTATACATCTCACAGGGCCACGAGGTGGCCAGGGATTGGGGCATCCTGATTAGTCCCTAGTCAAATAGGATGCACCTGTCCTTCCTCAAATTTCAGGTTTTACTCACCCCCCAGGGCCGGCCACCTCCCTCTTTGCATGGCGGGGCTTGGCCACAAGAATGCCTTCACCTGGCCCTCGCCCCACCTCCCCATCCCTTTATGAGACCTGGCCTCCTTGGATTTCCAAACGCATTCATCACTTTTGACTTAGAACCTTGGCATCTGGGATAGTCCCAAGCAAACATCCAGGACAGGGGTGAGCGCTGTGAGGGCAGCGCTCCGGGAAGTGCAGGCTGGCAGAGGGGAGCAGGTGGCCGGAGGGACTGTGCAAGCAGTGTTGTTTTAAGAGAAACAGAGGAGGAGGTGAACGGGTCTCTGGGAATCGCACTGAACTCAGCACAGTCCTGCCTTGGACTTAGCCTGGGGCTCAGAGCCACACTCGGCCTACATCGGTGGGAAGAAAAGGCAAAGGCAAGCCTTCATGGTCCTTCTCTTCTCTTGTTATTTAAGCAATAAATGAGGGTTGTCCTGCCTGCCATGGGGAAAACCATTTGGCCCTATTTTTTTTTTTAATGTGTAACTTCATTATCATTCACTAAAGACACATATATACAAAAATTAAAATTAAAATTAAAATTCAAATGAAAGCAATGCAAGGGAAAAAACTATAATAATATTCAAATATAATAGAACTCAACCAAAGCAAAACTGAAAGTACTTAAACCTTTTTCCATATAATTAAAAAAAAATCTCCAGCATTAACAAGACATCAAAGGATGTGATTTGTTTTACAAAGATTTTCAAAACTAATATTGAACAAATAATGGTCTGGAAAAAATTCTAATTAGCTAGTAGACTCCACATAGGCCAAATTTTTTAAAATTTAAATTTCAATAGAGTCATGTGACACGTGATGGAAATATAATCGGACAAATATGTTATTATGCAACTTCATTCGTGTGTATCGCAAAGTACCACACAGGGTGCCAACTTCTAAGTGCAAACTAAAAAGGTATACGTCAATCATCTGCGATGGCCCCTTGATATTATCAAAATCACAGTTAAACATGAGATACAGGAGGCTACCACTGTCATAGCAGCACACTGTTTTACAGTAAACTCTTTTATATAAGTAGGATTATGCTCTAAAGGATGAAAAGTACAGCATAGGCCCTATTAAGAGAAACAACAAAGGGCATGGTAACAATAGACTCTCTCCCTCTCTCTCTTCCTATGCACGTCACTCAGGCTCCAGAGTTCTCAGGAAAATGATTATATTAAGGTGGAGGGGTGGGGAACCTGGGAAGCATTGCACTAATCACAAGAAAGTGAAGTCATGCAGGACTCAGGTTGGCTGGGACCTGGATTCCGAGCTCCAAAGGCCCTAGGGGTGGTGCTTCCTCCTCACTCCTGTCAATCTGGGGACAAAGATGGATGCCACAGGGCATAGACTTACATGCGCCTGTGTCTGACAAAAGATGAGTGATGTCAAATTAGGGCTCTGCCCTTTACCAGTTGGGTGACTTTGGGTATTTAATGTTTTTGAGCTTCTGCTTCCTCGTTTACTAATGAGGATAACGATACCATTCTGTGTGACGGTAGTAAAGATCGAAATAGACAAGTTATATAAAATATATGCATGTATTTGATGCACAATAAGTACTCAAAATTTCAAAGTCAGGCTCCAAAAACTGGGGAGAGACATACTCTTAGAAGTGTGGATTAGGTGTTAGCAAACCTCAAGCCAAGTAGTGGCACCTTCCACTCAGTGGCATAAAATCTTGACTGAGAGTTAGGAGAAGTAAAATTGAAGAGATCTCTTGCAAATCATGGTGACTAGTTATTTCCAGTGTCCCGAACGTTGCTAAGAGAGTAGATTTAAAGCATTCTTATCACCCAAAAAGCAATATTATGTGTCAAAGAACAACATTACAATAGACTTAGTTCAAAGCTCTTAACTAGATTTTATTGGTGATTCTAGAATTAGGCAATACCTCACTCTGTAAGACCAGTGAGATTAGCAGAGGAAGTTAGTTTTCGAGAAGAAAGGAAAACAGAAACAAAACACAATAGATTGGTTTTTTAAAAAATCACTTTTCTTATAAAGATCAAAGCAGAGGGGATTTCCTTCTCATGCATGCCTTTACTAAGCTTCTTTGGGATTTATTCTCTCTTTCTCTCTCTCCCCTGATAGCTAGCCTGTCAGATGAAACATGTAGTTTCACTGTGGTAACATCGAACATTAGCATGAGTGACTCAATTTTGGTATTGTCTGTTAGGCCTAGCGCAGGAGCTCAGTCGGAACTTCAATAAAATAAATTTTATTTAATATATGTGAGGTAATGCATGTTAAGTAGTTTGATTAACTCCCCATGCATGTGATGACATATGCTTATGTATATATCAAAACATCACATTGTGCTTCAAAATATATAGTTATTATTTGTCAATTAAAATATATATTAGGAAAAAAAGATATTGGGGGGGGGAACATTGGAAGCCAGTTTTGAGAATGGAACATGTTTTCATCTCAGACATGGGATTTCGCTGTGGCTCTGCTGAAAGTTTCAGAATTAGCAAAGGCCCTGGGAACTGAGGAGGCCACGTTAGAGGACTCGGGCATGGTCACTGATGTCTCTCCTTTTGACAGCCTGGGATCACAGACTGGCTAGACTGGGGACATAAACAGACCTATAGGAACTCAGGCTCTTCCAAGAGGAGAATCCTTCAACCTAGTGCCACTCAGACAGAAGCAACCCTGGAAACCATGAGGAGGAGATGTCAGCTCAGGTTCCTGACAACAGAGAGGAAGGCTATGTGGGTCGTCATGCCAAGACACCCATTCGTGCACCAAGATGTCCTGCCTTTGTAACAGATGCCATGTGCTGCTCCTGTGCCAGGGACAGTGGGCAAGGATGGCTGGGCCCTTGCTCTTTCCAAGGAAGCCATGCCAGAGGACCCCTGTCGGTAGGTCCGCCTTGGTGAACCGGGCCTGTATAATGGAAAGGATACAAACGGCTTCTTGTCCAATTTGGCTTCTACTTCCAATCTTTAAAGATATTTTTGAGTTTACTTTGGATTAGCCAAGTAAATCAATCCCAAGTGTCACTGGCATGAGGTCTGTGTGGCGGAGAAAGTGTAAACACGCATAGATTTGTGGTTTAAGGTGTTATGTCCTGTAAACCTTTTCTGGTACACCTGGCAACTGCTCAGAACAGACTGTTTGTGGTAGAGTCAACTGCCTCAGGAATGCATGATGCAATCTGGCTTCTACCACCAGAGAAAAGAAAAAGAGTGGGTAATCTGAAGCCACCAATGAAGCCAAATGCTTCTCCTAAGTTTGGGAGTGGTGTTATCCCGGGGCCTTAGTTGGCATCACTTTCTGCCACTGGACAACATTTTCTCC